CACGTGCCACCATGCCCGGCTAATTTTTTCTACATATATTTTTAGCTGTCCAATTAATTTCTTTCCATTTTTTTGGTAGAGACGGGGTCTTGCTCTTGCTCAGGCTGGTCTCGAACTCCTGAGCTCAGAACGATCCACCCGCCTCGGCCTCCCAGAGTGCTAGGATTACAGGCGTGAGCCACCGCGCCCGGCCACAACTCAATTTTTTTAAATGAGCAAAAGATTATTTGAATAGACACTTTACCAAAGAAGATAAATAAATGGCTAATAAGCATGTGAAAATATGCTAAACATCATTAGGGAAATGCAAATTAAAATCACAATAAGCTATCACTGCACTGCTCTTAGAAGGGCTAAAATAAAAAAGACAGATTATAACAGGTGTTGATGAGGATGTGGAGGAGATAGAGCTCTCATACACCACTAGTGGGAATGTAAAATGGTACAGCCACTTTGGAAAACAGTTTGGCAGTTTCTTAAAAAGTTAAAGGTCACCTACATATGATCCAGCCATTTCACTCTTAGGTATTTTATCTAAGAGAAAAAGGAAACATGTGCATACAAACATGGGTACATGAGTGTTTATAGTAGCTTTATTTATAATAGCCAAGAATTGAAACAACCCAAATATCTATCAACAGGTGAGTGGATAAAGAAACTTTGGTATATCTGCACAATGAAATTCTATTCAACAATAAAAAGGAATGAGCTACTGCTACATCCAGCAACATAGATGAACCTTAAAAACAGTATGCAAGTGCAAGAAGCCAGATACAAAAGACTACATATTTTATGATTCTATTTATATGAAATTTCAAGAAAAGGCAAAAGTGTAGAGATAGCAGATAAGTTGATTGCCTGGGGTTGCGGGTGGGAGCAGGGACTGACTGCAAACTGGCATCAGGGAACTTTTTTAGCAGATGGAAGTGTTCTAAAACTGGATTGTGGGAATATTGGAAAACTGTTAAAATTTACTAAAACTCATTGAACATTACACTTACAATGGGTGAATTTTATGGTATGTAAATTATAACTCAAACTGTTCCATGACCAAAAAAAAAGAGTATGTCGTTTTGGCAAACAATTGGGAACTCCAGCTTATGATTTGGTATTCCCACAGAATAATTCTCTGTAATATTTTATATCTTAATTTCTTTATTTCACAGAGAACCCAAAGGTGCAATTAACTCCTTGTGTGGTACTTTCACTACTGACAAGTAGTTCTGTTTGACTGGTATATAATTTGCTTATCTGAGTATGTAATAAATTAGTTTTTAAAAAAAGATATATTGAGTACCTTCCAGCTAAGATGGGCACATGCTTGAGTAGGTGTAGCTCAGGGCTATATCCTATCCTTGACGCCCTCATTTTACTTCCCCCTGTATTAATGGTGGAATCCTGGCTGTCACTCTGATGCCATCTGTATAAAATAATGATATGTTCTATTTTTGTCTCAGTCACCAAGCAGCCCCTTATACAGGATGAAGTCTGGGAACCGAGTTGCAACATTTATGATCTATGTGAGTCTTGCTCTGGTCTTCTTATTTAATGACTGGCTATTTATATCTCTATTTTATTTTATGGTTTTCAAAGCAATTTCACATGTTGATTTTATCTGGTATTCAGCACAAAAATCTCCAGGAATTTTGCGACTTTCAGACAACACTTTTGTTAGCCACTATAGGAGATACAAAAAAATACAAGACAGAGTTCCTACCCTCAGAGAGCTTACAGCATATAGATCTAAATATGATGCTGGCGTGGGCAGTGGATTAGGAAGGGAAGTGGGGTTCCATTGAAGGCCAAGAGATCAGGGGCCTTGAACAACATAGGAAGAGGATATGAGAGTCTCCCTCTTAGTGGTCCACAGACTAGTCAGTGTTGAAAAGCAGGGACCTAGATGAGGTTGTGGAGCTGTGAGGAGAAAGAGAAGAGAGGCGGTAATATTACAGAGGGAGGAACAGAGAGGCTTACAGAGAAATTCAGAAAGTGTTGCCTCTGATATGTAGTGAAAATGCTCTTCCTTATGTCCCCATGAAATCTTCGGTAAAATCTCCATTACACCCCCTTCAAAAATAAAACAATAAATTCCTGGTCCAATTCTACAGGATTGGGTCCCGTTCTCTATTATCTCAGTCATCCCCTTCCCCTTCAGATCCTGTGGGTTTACTTCATTCTCTGTGTATAAGTCACAATTCCAATCATCTGTCACTTAGATGAGGTTCTTAGAAGAAATCACTTATTAAAAAAAGATGTACTACTGTTGATTGAAGGGACAAAAATGTTAAATATCAGAGCTCTATATGACAACCAAAGATGAAATCCTGTTTTCAGGCTCACGAGAGTAGCGGACACTCCCACCCTAGCGTTCCCTCTTAGGGCTGTCTCTGGTCTCCAGAGTACCGCCAAGAGAGGACAATCCGAGGCTGACGTTCTACAGTCTTTAATGTCAGCAATTCCAATGTGTTTCTCCATGTATGCTTCCTGCAGAACAGGAAGGCTGCCACTTACCATGCTGTCCGGCCTCTTCGTGGTCATTCTGGTGGTTCTGATCAGGCACAGCGGAATAGCTGAAGTCAGCTTTCAGGCAGGAGGCACATCTTGGATCTGCAGCTGGTCACAACTTCAGGCTGATCACTCAGGCTGGCATGGGAGGTCACAGGCTGTGAAATGAACTCTTGTCAAAGAACAGGGCATCTCGGGGCACAATGTATCTGTTTTTTATTCCCCCTGTATCTCTTACGGCTGGTTCCCTGGTTATAGGGGTCCAGTTACAGCAGTGTCGGTAGCACGGATGTAGGAACCCAACAATTTCAAATAGCAAGTGCAAGTGTTCATGCACATGTGTGCCTGTGTGCATGTGCATTTAGGTTTTAAGCATTTGAGACACAATGGAATCGAATGGACTTTGGGTTTGGAGTTAGCCTAATCCTGATTCTGCCACTTACTACGTGGCCTCAGCACAAATTACATCTATTATTTGAGCTCATTTTTCCCTGTGCTTCCTCACAGGTTGTTGTGACAATCTGATTACGTAATTTAAAGGGGATATCACTCTAGAAAATTCCATACACTATCATTGTATCCCACAAAGCAAGTATAGGAAAGGCCCCAGAGAGGGGAATCAGTGTCATGGGACCTAGAAAGTGCCAGGTTATGCTCAGTGCCTTCATCCTCAGGTTGGGTAAAAACCATGGTAAACATTTCTAAAGACAAGCCTTGAGGTTTGTGGGAAACATTAGAGTAATATTGTACAGGGAAAATAATCTTTAAGAAGTACAGAGGACCTGGTATGGTGGCTCAAGCCTGTAATCCTCGCACTTTGAGAGGCTGAGGCGGGAGGATCACTTGAGGCCAGGAGTTCAAGAGCAGCCTCAGCAACACAGAGAGACCTCCCCCCACCCTGTCTCTACAAAAAATAGAAAAATTAGCCAGGCATGGTAGTACCCACCTGTAGTCCTGCTACTCAGGAGGCTGAGGCAGGAGGATCGCTTGAGCCCAGGAGCTGGAAGTTGCACTGAGCTATGATGATGCCACTGCACTCCAGCCCAGGCAGCAGAGCGTGACCCTGTATCTCAAAAAAAAAAAAGAAGTAGTACAGAGGATTGAGTTGAAATCTGGTTGGTGATTTTCTGCTCAGATTGGACATAAATAAGGTCAGTCTACTACAAAACAGTGGGAGGTGTACAGAGGAAAGAGTTCTCTCCCCTCCCCACTGTTCTCACAGCCCACGCCCTGTTCATGAGCTTCATTGCATGCAGAATCAGATTTTCTTTTTCATTTGTTGGGACATGTCATTCCTTTCCACTATTTTATAAAACCACTGGTAAAGGAATGCAGGGAAGTCCAGTTTGCCCCTGTTGTATCTTGCTTACTCTCATATTGACTGACAACAGGAGTTAGAACAAAATAGTCCAATTTGTTGGTATTTGAATCAAGAAGCTAATTGCTGTTCCCATCAGCCTCCCCAGTGGGCTACAGGGGGAGCCAAGGAATGCTGAAAGTCACCATTGCCATTTCCAGATTCTGAACCAGCAAGTCAGTTTAGTTTCCTCTAACAAGTACCAATGTCCTATCTCCTATTGCTCTTCCTCTGTAACGCAAGTCAATATGGTGGGATCTGATTGCCTTAAGATTAGAAGGCATGAACCTTCTGGTAGAAAGTGCTAGGCAGGGTGAGGTAAGAGGCACTCTGGTGTTGTGCGACTACTGAGAAAATAATTCAGCAGGATGCATCAGAAGTATTAAACTTCCGCACACCCTTTTGACCCAGTAATACTAGTGCTGGGGCTCTTTCCTATGAAAACAATCCAAAATGCAAAAACAATTATATTCATTAAGATGTTCAATGCAGTGTTGCTTATAATAGTAAACATTTGAATATAACCTAAACGTTCAAAAGCATAGCATAATGGTTTTGAGCAGGGACTTCGTAGTCAGATAGTACTGGCTCAGTTCAAACCCTGGCTCTGTCATGGAAGAGTCATGTGACCTTTTGTAAAGTGCTTAATCTCTCTGAGACTTGGTTTCTTCATCTGAAAAATGTGAAAAATAAAAATAATAACAGTCCTAACTCATAGGATTGTTGTGAGGAATAAGTGAGATAATGTATTTGTAAGGACTTCGTGTAATGCCTAGCGTATAGTCGGTGCTCAATAAATGTCCACTATTACTATGTAAACTATAACTGTTTTTCTCTGGATGGTAAGATGATAAGTATTGTTATTTTTAGTATTTTCCTGTATTTTGAAAAAGTTTATTATATATTTCCTTGGCAATCAGAAAAAAATCTTTACACCAAGAAAACGTGTCCATAATCCTAAAATATACCAGTGGTGAAACTCCTTAGCTTAGGTTGCCTGGAGAGGATCTGAGTAATCAGAGAATACATCAAATGTGCAGTAAGTGTCCCTATGATGCCCACCTTTCAAAATGAATCATGTAGTCTAAACTGGTTCTCAAGTCACAAGTCATGATCCATTTGTAGGTTGTGAGGTTAATTTAGTGGATCTGGTCAGCATTTAAGAAAACTGCACGGGCCGGGCACGATGGCTCACGCCTGTAATCCTAGCTCTGTGGGAGGCCAAGGCGGGCGGATTGTTTGAGCTCAGGAGTTCGAAACCAGCCTGAGCAACAGCGAGACCCCCGTCTCTACTAAAAACAGAAAGAAATTAATCGGACAACTAAAAATATATAGAAAAAAAAAAAATTAGCCGGACATGGTGGTGCATGCCTGTAGTCCCAGCTACTCGGGAGGCTGAGGCAGGAGGATTGCTTGAGCCCAGGAGTTTGAGGTTGCTGTGAGCTAAGATGACGCCACGGTACTCTAGCCCAGGCAACACAGTGAGACTCTGTCTCAAAAAAAAAAAAAAAAAAGAAAACTGCACTAAAATAGAACCAAATAAAATTAAAAAGACCAGAGGGTATCTCACGTAGTAAGAATGTTTTATGAAACTTTTACTTCAGGGGTGTGTATATGTGTGTGTGTGTGTCTTGGGTCATGATTTAAAATGTATTTCTTCCTGAGTGTCTCAATCAAAACAGTTTGCATCTACTTACTGTAGCTCTCAATAAGGACATCAGCTAGAAGGGAAAAGAAAGGAGGAATCCAAAACATTGTCCCCTTGTGCCCTGCAGGCAAATACCAATGCCATAGAGGTACCCTTCGTTCCAAAGTCGAACGATTGTCTTTCAAGCGTTTCTCGCAGAGTTGAAACAGGGGCCCACAGGAAGGACTCTATGCAGAAATGACTTCAGCTGTTGGGTTCACAAACAAATGACAGAGTAGGGAAGTCCTTGGCTATTTTAACTCTGGCTTCTTCCTCTGGCATTGCAGCTGAGCTCGGTGGAAGCTGGAGGGGCCACGGCCTTCATCTACGCCAACTTTAGTGTGCCTGTGGTTAAGGTGAGTGGGGCCCGGTCCCAGAAGATGGGGGTTGGCAGAGTGAAGCACTAACACCGAACCTCCATGCTGTCTGCGCTTGCAAGCCGATTCCTGGGCAGGGGATAAAAAGAGGTCTTCCCTGATTCCTGCCATCAAAGATGATCCCACATCTTCTTTACTGCCTCACATGTGCATGCCATTTGTTCCTCTGTTTCTTACTTTGTTTCTACTTGTGTTGCACGTAGATGACTACATGTCTGTCTTGACTATTCAAAGACAAGAACTCTGTTTTTTATTCACCGTTGGATCCTCTACAGCAACTAGTTTCCTCAGTCATTAATTCAGTCAGCATTGCGAGCTAGACGTCCTGAGGGGACAGAGCAAAAATCATAGCCCTTTGCTCCAGGAGCTCACAGGGAGGTCAGCAGGTGTACCAGGTGCTGCAGTAAGAGATGTGGAAAGGGCAGACACTGAGGAGAGCCAGGTGGCAGGAGGTTTGTTTAGCGAATCAACATTTCCAGCAAATTTCAGATCAGCCAACTCTCTGGCAGCCTTTGCCTAATTCAGTAATGAAATGAAGATAAGTAAGCGAGATCATGTCTATAAACATGTAGCACGGTGCCTGGCGTGTTCTCAGCATTGATAAGTAAATGCTCAGTATCTCTGGATGCTCAGGGGTTTGACATCTCTTCTAGGTTTGGGGACAGGGAGGCTGCCAGTGCAGCCTGGCAGGCTCTTCATTACTTGGGGCTCTGTCTTCTTCTAAGGGCCAAGGTTAAAGTCAGTCTATAGGAAGTGTATAGGGCAAAAAAAAAAAAAAAAAAAAGTGAATGAGGGAGGTGGTGGGAAGAACATGTAGGGTTTGGTGCTAAACACCAGGGCTTGAGTCCTGTCTTTGCTTCTTTTAGTTGCATTATTTAAAGCCCTGAGCCTCCACTTCTTTGCTAGGAAAGTGGGATTCTGATAACACTTCCCGGGGTGTTATTAGTAAGGGCCTAAAGCAAGATGAGCTTTTGAGTTAATGAAGTTCTCATGATTTCGTTGGGCGTCTCCCCTCAGTGACCCAGTGACTCCCAGACTCTCCTTTCTCCTCGCACTCACCACACTGTCTTGTCCTGGTCTGTTTTATATCGGTCTCTCGTGAGCTCTCCAAGAGCAGAACTGGACATGATCTGTGTCTGCATCTCCAGGGCCTGGAGCAGAGTGACCCTCAGTGTGAACTATGCATGAGTAAATGGCAGCTCATGTAGTTTGTGCCATTGTATGCATGCTTTGCCCCCAGACTGCATGGAGAGGTCTCTCGTCGAATGACATGCATGCATTTGTCCTTACTGTGTGCTTTCTGAGGACTGAGATTCGAGGCTGTCCTTCTCTGGGACTGGGCCCTCTTCTTTTCAGAATGCAGCACTGTTTTGGTGGAACCTGCACAGGAGCGGTGAAGGGGACGATGACACCCTTCATGCTGGCTGTCCCGTCCTGGTGGGAGATAAGTGGGGTAAGTCCTGCCTTTCTGGGCGTGAGAAGGGGGTGAGGTGAGGGGTGCAGAGTGAAGCGAAACACTGGGTGGGTGGGCCGTAGCACAGTCCTCCCATTCCGAAGCGTCACTGCAGCACCACATCATGCTGACATGATCAGACTACGAATCAGGTGCCCCCAACAGATTGGGAGCCCATAAAGGGCAGGGGTCCTGTCACAGAGCAGGTGTCAGTAACGGTTTCTGACCTGACCCGACCAGATAGGCCTTGATTCCAGAGGAGGAATATAGTGCTCTGTCCCAACCCTCTACCCCAAGGACAGAACTGTCACACCATTGCCTGTATCACTTGGTGCCTTCCCGTGAGGAGGTGGTCACACAAGGAAGAGATAAGTAAGAAGCGGACGGACAGGTTCATGTCATATATGCGTCCAACAGCACTTAGCTCTGAGACAGAAAATGTGGAAAAGAGGCTCTCCTGCTAAGGAGACGCTGCCGGCAGATGCTGCCCCTTTTCTCTTGTTACTCTGGAACGGCTTTGTGGGCTTTTACAGTGAGGTGTGAGTGACCTTAGTTCCAATACATTTGAAAATTAGTTTACAGGAGACAGGGCCCATTGGACTTTTTCCAGAGGACAGTGTCCTCTTTGCTGTTTATCTCTGTAGTCCCTAGTGGGGCGGGGGCTCGGGCAGGCAGGCGAGCTGCCAAGGGTGCAGGGTGTAAGCCAGCACTGGCACACCTGCAGCTGAGCACTGGTCCGTAGTGTCACTGCTCTGCTGAGCCTGCTGTCTGCTTCCTCTCCCTTCTCTCCCAGTGGCCAACAAGTGGATACACGAGTATGGACAGGAATTCCGCAGACCCTGCAGCTCCAGCCCTGAAGACTGAGACGTTGGTGGAGAGAAGCGGGTGGAGTCCTGTGGCTTCCCAGAGAAGCCAGGAGCCAGAAGCTGCGGTAGGAGAGGAGAAAGGAAAAAGGCCTGGTCAGCATTGCCTGTTCCTTGCAAACGGGAGGCCAGGAAGTAGTCTTTCTCAGAGGACACCTGAGAATTTGCATTTGTTTCTGCTTCAGCCATGAGAGTCAGAGTGTTACAGACAGTACAAAGGTGGGGGCGGTGGAGGCCTGAGAGTGAAGTTTCTGGAGCTCAGATACTGTCTGTTGGGAACAGAACATATCGACAGTCTCTGGGGTTTTGTCAGCGAGGCTTCTGCCACTTTGAACCTTGAGCACAGGGACCGGGAAGTAGCAGTGAGGACACCTGCAAGAGGGGCCAGCCCGATGCTCACAGCTGGAAGCCCCCTCCCCACTGCCTTCTGCCAAAGCCCGAGCAGGGAGTGCCTCCATCCCAGAGTATACCCCATGTGAGCCGTACATCATATGATGGTATTTTTAAAGTAGAAAGCAACTTTCTTTTCTTTTTATGTGTTTTTTTAATACAGTCATTAAAAATGTCTATGAATTATTTTTCTCAACTGAGAATGTTCTTACATTATAATTTTGAGTGAAAAAAGAAGCAAGAGTACAGTCGGCCCTCCTTGTCTGTGGGTTCCACATTTGTGGATTCGACCAACCTCTGGTTGAAAATATTTGAAAAAAAAAGGATTGCTGTGTCCATACTGAACATGTTCAGGATTTTTTTCCATGTCATAACAACTATTTACATAGCCTTGACATCGTATTAGGTATTCTAAGTAACCTAGAGACAATTTAAAGTATACAGAGAAAGTGTGTGTTATATGCAAACACCGCACCATTTTACATAAGGGACTCGAACATCGGTGGATTTTTGTGTCCATGGGGAATCCTGGAACCAGTCCCTCGGGAATCCCAAGGGACACTGTGTGACATTTTATTTATGCCATAATCTCACTTGGCTCACCCCCTGCCATTCTCCCCTGGCCACCCTCCAGACAGTGACACTCCTTCCAGTCTGAGAACCAGCGCGCCATCACCCCCGCCACGCTCCCATCCTCAGGCCCTGGCACTGCTGCCCCCTCAATCTTCCCAGGCTGAGCTCCTCTAGTCATCCCCCTCCTGGCTCAGTGTCACTTCTGAGGGGCCTTCTCTGACCACCCTACCACCCAGCCACTTTGTTCCATGCTAACCAATTTTATTTTCTTTATAACACTTATCTGAATTGAAATCACTTTATTCATTTGTTTGATTTTGGTCAGTTGCCTTCCTTGCAGGGCAAGGGCGGGGCCGCTATACTTTGTAAATCTGCAGCCCCCACGTCCCGGGCCACGGCCCAGTACCTGTCCCGGCCTGTTAGGCCACCATCACCACCTGAGCTCTGTGCGCTCCCCCCCAACAACCCCCTGCCCCATCCGTGGAAAAATTGTCTTCCGTGAATCTTAGGAACCAGGCCCCCCAGCAGCAAGTGAGCGAAGCTTCATCTGTCTTTACAGACGCTCCCCATCACTGGCATCACCTGAGCTCTGCCTCCTGCCTCCCCGCTCCCCCACCTCCCTCAGAGGAAAAATTGTCTTCCGTGAAAGCAGTCCGTGGTGCCAAAAAGGTTGGGGACTATTGTTGCAAATGCCTCTATTTATAGCCCCCAGCTCACTGAATTTCAATATTTGTTTATTTACCAGGCTGCCCCCACTAGATTCTGTACTCCTTATTCCTCTTGGTAGCCCTAGAAGAAGGTCTGGTTCAAAATAAGTAGGCATTCAGCATTTTTGCAAAGGCAACCTTTGCGCTGCACTGAGGCTGACCGAGTTTTACAAGCGGAATCTGGTGAACGGTGTTTCCCAGCAGAAGGACTAGCAGGGCGAAGGCCGTGTCGATGGGTGACTGTGATATGCAGGCACTTGTGCCGAGAGAACATTTCAAGCTGCTGGGCTCAGGCTCATTCACAGGGGTGTGCGCTTGTTTTGCTCACAAGGAAGCTTGTTTTGCTCACAAGGAAGCCGCACGGTGAAAGGTCTGGGGAGTTGGATGCTGCCCTCTCCCCACACCGGCCTTAAAGCTCTGTGGTCCCAAGGAAAGGGCTCTCGTGTTCTGATACCAGCTTCCTCAGAGCCTCTTCCTCAGAGCCTCCATAAGCACCTTGTCACATTCCCAGTATTTCTGCTGAGTGCGCCAGCCTGTCTACTGCAGCTCCAGAGGAACGGGCCTGAGACAGAAAGCTACTGTCTGCAGGCAAGAATGCTCCCCTTTCTTCACAGAACCCAGACTTTTCAGAATTGCAGCGTGGATCTGAGCCGTTCTCAGGGCTTCATGCGTTAATTGTTTAATGCTCATCCCAACCCTATGAGGTCCACGTAGTTACTATCTCCACTTGACAGATGAGGAGGCAGATTTAGAGAATTAGGTAACTTGACTGAGGTCCCACAGTCTGGCTCCAAACCTTGTGCTTTTAACTAACACACATGCTTTTAACAATGTCTGAGATGTGGCAATTATAGAACATCTTGAGCAGGTGACTGAGACCCAGGAAAGCCTGGCTACAAATTAAGCTGCTTAATGAGCATTCCCCAGGGGCAGGCCCTGGCCTAGTGGTGCTGTGGGGGTACAGGCAGGTACAGGATGTAGTCCCTGGGAACTAGGTCGTAGGGAGGGAGATGAGACAAAGTACATCCAGAGTTAAGTGTCATTTAAGCACAGTGTGAAATGTTGCATGCAAGAGATGAATGACCACTGAAGCTGCAGTCAGGAGGAAGAGGATCCTTGTCATTTGGGGTGGTTGAGAAAACCTTATTCTTTTATTCAAGTCACATTGACAAGGTGTCTACTCAGTGCCAGGCCCTTGCTGGCACTAGGGATGGAAGAATTAGATGCTGATTCTGCCCCTAGAAATGGAGACAGACGCTTGGATCATCACGAGACAACGTAGCCACGAGTGGAGACATGAACAGGTAGCATCAAGAGGCTCCCCCCCACCGAAGTTTTATGGGAAAGAAGGACATAAGGGAGACTTGAAGATGAGAGGGTCCCCGGAGGCTGGAAGGAGGGACAGGGCTGGACATGCACAGGGGGAATGCCTGTCCCTAGAGCTATGAACAGTGACACCTTGCTTTTGGCCAGCATGATAGTTTTCAAAATACGTTGCCACTCCTCTTGAACCTCACCTGCCAGTGGGAGAAAGCAGAGCAGGTACCGGGGAAAGCGAGGTCGGAACACGCTAGAGCTGGGGCTGGACGCCCGCTCTCTGTCTCCCTCACCACTGCTCTTGCCACTGGACGGCTTTCACAGCCACGTCCCTCCACCACACCACAGCCAGAGCGGAAAGGCCTAATGCTTTTCTGTTTGCACTAGTCTCCACGCCCTCTGAAAGCCTGGCTAATCCTGCTAGAAAGTGGTGCGGCTTGGGGCTCCAAACAGTGCTTAGCGGGTAGCTAGCTAATTCTAAATAGGACTGACTGTGGCTTGGGGCATTGCTTGTTTATAATTTTGTTTACTTCTTGTGCTGTTCTGTGACCCTTGTTCAACCTGGGTTTCTGGCTTTGCACTGTGTATCACTTGCAAGCCTCCCTCTAGGTAATATTCTTTACGTTAATGACTTTTATCATTATCATTAGTAATCACATATTGACCATTTACTATAGGCCAGGCACTGTGCTAAGAACCTTGGTGTGTTTGTCTCCTTTAATCCTCACAATAAGTACTATTATGCCCATTTTATAGATGAGGGAAACTGAGGCAGGGGAAGTGTAACATGCTTGAAGTCACATAGTTATAAAGTTGTAAAGGCAGGATTCAAATCCAGGTCTATCCATCACCAAAGATCTTAACTAGCCCTCTGTTGTCTGCATTACATGTTATTTTGCTGTCGCTGCTTTGTTCCTGTTGGCAATAATATCTTTTGAAGCCAACAATTTTGGGGGAAAGTCTCCATTTTCCCAGGTGTTGAAAGGGTTTATCCATTGTACCACTGATGCCTAATGGTTAAGAGCCCTGTCAGATGTAGATTATTTATTGAATACACAAATGGATCATTTTAATTCCACAAATGCATAGTGAATACCTATTGTGTGACCAGCCCCATGCTAGATGCTCCCTGAGAATCCCGGGGAAGGAGGCAGCCTGCTCGCTGCCCTTAAGAAAACTTAGCACACGCTTGAAGGTAAGAATGGGGAATCGGATATAGTCAAGTGGAAAGCCACGTGGTACTCATGCTGAAGAGGTGGGAGCTGGGAGCAAGGGGAGAACCTTATGGCTAGCGTGGGCTAAGGGCTTCCACACTGGCCCCAGGAACACATGGAGGGAGTGAGAACATGTGCCTGTGGAGGGTGGGGGGCAGCGGCCACCTCGCTTGTCTCCCTTTCATATACAAGGGAGCAGGGAGAGCTGTCTGGGAGGAGGAAGCGAGAGGGTGTTGATTCTGGGGGACTCTTGTCCAGCAATGCCAAGAGCAGCACAAACTGTCCTTTCATGGAACCGCTCAAAGAGTCCCCTGTTTGGGGGTGTTGGCTGCACAAGCCAGGAGAAGCCAAAGGAGCCTGTGTGTAGGGGTTGGGGGGCAGAGAGGGGCACTGGGCTGCAGGTTGCTGTGTCCTCAGTGGAACTGTGAAGTCGGCTAAGGGCTGCGGGGAGGAAACCAACATTTGTGCCTCCTCTTTGCCAGCTACTTAATCTCCCATATCTTATTCACAACACTCACCATCCGTTTTGGCAAAGGAGGAAAGTGGGGCTCAAAGAAGACTTCCCTGGGTTCACACAGCCAGGAGCAGAGCCAGGATCGGGAGCTGGAGAGGGCCCCCACCCCAGCTGCTTGTAACCTCTTGCTCTCTGTACTCTTCCCTCTCCCTCACCTGGGACCCCCCAGTTTCCTCCCCCTTGGGAATGAGAGCCTGCCTCTCTCCCTTCCCCCTCCCTGCCCCAGCCCTCTGTATAGTCGCTTTCTTGTCACAGGCACCTCCCATCAAGTGCTTGATCTGCCTGTGCCCTCTAAGGTTTGAGGGACAGAGGGTTCCCCTGTCCCTGCCAGGGGCATGTTTGCATCTGAAACAGGTAGCCTGGTGAAACCAAAGATTATCTCAAAGAAATGAGGTGCTGGGGTGGATTCTAGGCACTGGGATACCTGGCTGGTGATAGTCTTTTTGGCTAAGGGTTGAAGGGCATGGCTCAGATGGAGACACCTCTGCCTTCTTTAAAGCTCACCACATTTCAGATGGAGCGTGATGGTAAAATAGTGACCGCTATTCCTCTTATTCATCACCTTATGGGACTAGACGGCAGTAGTTACTTCCCCCAGCCCAGAAAGGTGCAGCAGCAACTTGCCCGTACTTACACAGTATGTCAGCATCAGATCGAGACTAGAAGCAAGGTTTCCTGGCCCAGAGAGCCATGCTTTTCCAGAGTTCCATACGTGCTTCTTAGAACAGGTGCAAATGTGGTACCAACCCCTGTGGTGTTTCAATGGGCACAGATTGTGTGCGTGGTCTGCCAGTCCTTCATTCAACTAAGCATTCCTGATGTCACCTCTGTGCCAGGCCCTTTGCTGGGTCTGGAGACACTGGGATG